TAGGAGGTGGGGACCACAGTAGTTATGTGAGTCCAAATTTTATTATGTTTTTGAGTGATATATATGTTGTTTTATGTTTTGTCGCCTTATAAGGGCATAGTTGTCTTTGTACTGTTCTATTATTTTAGTATAAATAATAAGTGAAGGGGGTGGCCAGATTATTGCTCTATTTTCTTTTCAACTTTTCTTTTTCTTCTCTTCTTCTCCTTCTCTCTTCAAGAAACTACTTTCTTTCATATATATATTTTTTTAATTCAGCAGATTCCTACTCAGAGCAATTTTGTTCCCCTCTTCATCCCTAATGACTCCCCCAATACTTGAGGGGCCTGGGTTACCCAAACAGCTTCCATCAAAATTTAGTTTCTTCCTACCATTTATTGGGGGAGACCAAACCTCAACATATCTTTGTCTTGTAGTTGAGGATGCAGCAATGGTACCCAAAGCTCTGAAGAAGTCTTCAACCTTGAAATCTAGAAACAACTTCAAATTTTTGCCCAATGTGCTACTCTGAATGTTATAGTTTCAACCAAGGCTTCCTTGCTTATTTACAACTATATTCTTAATCGTTTACTGTCTTGTGAACTCTTGAGAGAATATTACCCTTTTTTCTCCTTTTTGAATGATCTGCCCCTATCAAGATGCTTTTGTCTGGATGTTTTTGACTTTTTTCTATTGTTTATTTTCTAATGATGCTAATACTAATGAAGTTATGGTATCATAAATACATATTGATTCTCCAGATCTTTTTTTTCGTTATCAGATATTTATAGTTGCAGTTTGGAGGTTAGTAGAAGACCTGATCGTTTCTCAACTGTAGAAATTCGTTTGATGAACAGAAATTTTCATGCTACAGGTACTTAACATAAAATAGTGTGTGTATGTATCTGTATCTATCTATCGATGTTTGAACTTTCAATTACAATTTTGTTCCTTATTACTTGCCTTCTTCTAGGTTTATGCTACTCGATAGAACGAGACTTCTATGAAATCCTTGGTGTTCCTAAAGATGCTAGCCAAGATGAAATCAAGAAAGCTTTTCATGTGGTATGTCTTAGGCTGACCCTATATGGGGAATGACTCTTGCGTATTGCATCATTTAGTTTTTAAAAACCTTTGTAATTTTATCAGTACGATGCAATGCTATTATACTTTTCAGCCTTATTTCCTTATTAGATTCTATTATTTGGTTTTATACTTCATTTTTACCATTTGCATGCTTATGCCAGCTTTGAGGATTAACGTAATGTTTTGAAAATTGTAATTGTATTGTAAATTACAAGGGGTTTGAATTGAATTGTATTGCAAATTGTAAGCTTTTCTTATTCATCAAAAAAAATTGTAAGATTTTCTAGAGGTGGTTAAAAAAATGTTAGTCTAAAAAATAAGTGATTTTGCACTGTACCAACTTTCATCCTATAGACATCATATAAGTAGGTATTAATGGCGATTATACCACTTGCACAATAACCAATATTCAATAGATAATATGATCAAGTTCAACTTTAATTATTTGAAGCCAACTGAGGGGTGGCTCAGTTGGTATGTTAGCTGGTTTGCTTCAGCATAGACATGGATTCGATTCCCACAACCACCGACTTTGGGGAAGGGGGGGAGTTATTAGTGGTGCATATAACCAAATGCCAAAAAAACTTTAATTATTTGAAGAGCTATAATTGCTAAATTATTGAAAGGCATACATATTATAGAGTTGCAGGCAACCAAGATAATATGCATGCAAGAGTTGAATAATTCAAAGTACACATTAGTACAGTACCAATTGCAGCCATAATTCAAAAAAAATCAAATCCTGAGATCATGCATAATTTTAAAATTTAAACATTGCAATTCATGTATGTTAGAGCTAGCCGAATAAGGGTAAATTAGTCATTTTATTTCTGTTATGTGCTTATGTGGCAGTTTTAATAGAGACTTTCTGTCCCATACTTAAGTGGGGGCAGTTTAGTCTTTGTACTACTAATTAGAGGCTAATCCATATTAAGGGTCGACTGATAGGGTTTAGTCTAT